CGAGGAGGCTCCGCAGGAGAAGAAAGCAAAACTGCACGAGCAGACCCACTTCCAAGGACCCTCAGGTGACTTACCTGTCCCTTCAGTGGAGAAAGCTCGGTCTCACGGGCTCACGAGACAGGATTCTATTAAGAATGGGTCCGGAGTGAAGCACCACATTGCTGGTGACATACCTTCAGACAGGTAAACATTCTGTGTAATTGTAGGTAAAATCGTTGTTTGTTTGTGGAGCAGTGTGCATGGTGTGTCATGGTACACACATTTGTGGAGGAGTGTGCATGGGGTATCATGGTACACAGGTTTGTTTGTGTAGGAGTGTGTCATGGTGTGTCACGGTACACAGGTTTGTTTGTGGAGCAGTGTACATGGTGTGTCACGGTACACACGTGTTTGTGTAGGAGTGTACATGGTGTGTCACGGTACACAGTTTGTTTGTGTAGGAGTGTACATGGTGTGTCACGGTACACAGGTTTGTTTGTGTAGGAGTGTACATGGTGTGTCACAGTACACGTGTGAAGCTCAGAGGAGTACTTGGTGGAATTGGTTCTCGCCATCATCAAGTTTTTTGTGGGTCCGGAGATGGAACTCGGGTCCTTAGGCGTGTGTGGCGTTTGTCTGCTGAGCCATCTTGCTCACCCAAATGTAGTGCTCAGAATATTCATTCCAAGCAAAAATGAACATATATGAAAATTTTAAGCCACAGTGAGTTACCTACATTGTATATTTCTTGATTCCCTCCCTCCCTCTCTTTTGTAAGGCTATATGTGATGTTCAGGATTTGACCTATGACATATTTAAAGTATTTTATGTTTGATATGGGCAAGATTATACGACAGATTTCCAAGAATAAAGAAATGAATTTTCATGAGACAGCTTTTGTGCTGTCGTTGCACATTTCCACCTTCCCATGGGGGCATCGGTTTTCCACTGTGGTCTTTCTTGAGTAAAGGCAGAGGCTGTTTCTTCCTGTGTTTTATAGGCATTTATATATTTTCTTTGGTGAACAGTATGCTTTTTTTTTTTTTTTACATTTTTATCCTAAATTGTAAAAGTGCTTTATATGTCTTTTTTAGCCTATGCATCACAAGTGTTTTCTTTCTAAATTTCTTGAAATATAATTTGGTGATATCCAGGGCTCACCATGTAGCTCAGGCTGGCCTGGAGCTTTTTATGTAGTCAAGGCTATCCTTATTCTCCCGCTGCAGCCTCCAGTGCTGTCCTTGCCACGACACCCATCTTACCGGCCTTTTGATGAACATGATCCTTATTTTAATGGTGGCTGATTTGCTGTTATTAGCACTGCCTAAGAAAATCATTGATTCTGAGAAGTCATTGCCCATCCTAGAGTCAAAATGTTTTCCTCCATTTCTCTTGGAGGCTTTCTATCTCTGTAGCCTGCATCAAAGACGAGACCTGCTCTTGAGTATTTCCTTTTGTGGTAATGGGAGCTGAACACAGTTCCTCGTGCTCATCCAGGAGCCATCTTCAAGTCCGTTCTCTAAACTTCCAGAAGTTCTATGCTTTCACATTTTACAGTTATACCCTTGATCCATTTTTGATGAATTTTTTTTATGATTAGAAAAGAAAAGCTCCCAATGTGTATTTCTTTGAATGTATGAAAATTCGATTGTTACACCACCATTTGTTACAAAGGTGACTCTTCCTTAACTGACTCCCTTTGTTTTCTGTCCAGAATTAGCCATCAGCTTTGAGTAGGCCTCCACGTCAACTTTTCTTCTCCCTCACCGATCTGCCTTTGTGCCTGACAGACCACGTTGTTATGGTCGCTGACATTTAATGTGTCCTCGAACTACATAGAATTAGGCTTCTAACTGTGTTATTTTTAAAGCTTTTATGGTAATTTGCAGTTTCTATTTCAATTTTAGGATCATGTAATAAGTAAAATTTAGACTAATTTCCCCTCAATTGCATGACATTAGAAAAGTGCCTGCTATTTATAAACAGTAGAAATACTATAGAATTGGATTTTTATTTTTATTAATCTTTAGTTTTTAATTGAGAAATTTACTTAATTTAAATTTCAAGTAATTATTGATGAGGTAAGGTCTTAAAACTACTTTGTAATTTGTTTCCTAGCACTTTTGCTTTTTAACATCTCATTTTCCCCACCTTTCTTTTGTTATTTATTTACTTGTTTAAATTGACACATCAAAATATGCTGTATTTTTAGAATACAACATGGTATTTGACACACACACACACAATATATATATATATATATACATTATATATATGTATATATATTATATTCTGGAATCAGCAAATCAAGCTGTTTAGCAGATGAGTTCTATCACTTGTCTTATTTGCCCAGTGAGAAGAGAAGCAACTCAGTGATTTTCAAATGTGCAATATCTTTTTTACTAATGGTAGCTATCATGATGTACAACAGTGCCCTTTCGTTATTACCTATTACTTGTACATATTAATGTTTTTCAGTGTGGTGGATACATGTATGCAAACAGCATGTACTTCTCTCTTTTATACTTTCCTTTTGTGGTTAAGAAGCTCATCTGGAAGAGCGCTTGAGACCTGGAGTATTATTTTCTCTTTGTCTGTGGTAGAGTCTTGCTTTTTATGTCATCGTAAAGCTTACAATAATGGTCTTTTGATTACAGCAAGCTCTTTTGAAATGATACAATATGTTATGATCACAAAGACTAGAAGGAGGACTAAGGAGAAGCATGTTTATGAAACACTCTATGTCTGTATTCTATTCTTTCCCAATTTTGAATTTTAGGGACCCATTAAAGATATGAATGGGTGATGTGCATCATGCTTCCGTATTAGGGCGATTTTATTTTGTTTCCCTATTTTTCGGCAGTGGTGTTTTATATTTACTGTTGTTTTTCTCTTTACTCATTAAGGACAATTTCAGAACTGCCTTTAGCATCTCTTACAGAGCCTTTCTCCTTATATCTGAGAATGTCTTTATTTTTCTAAATTACAGCTTTGCCAGATAGTTTTTTTGTTGTTGTTGTTGGCGGTTTTTCTATTCAACACTATAAAATCTTATAGCTCTCCCATGCAGTAAGTTTGCTGATGAGAAGTTTGCAATCAGGTGACATGTTAACGAATTGCTTTTTCCTCTTTCTGTCTTTCATGATTGAGAGCATGGTTATAACATATCTTGGGGTAGATGTATTTGAGTTGAATTCAGTTAATTGACCTTTGATTTTTCCTGTTCCTGTATGCTTTTTTTTGGGGGGGGGGTTAAATTTTCTGTTGTTTTTAGGGTAATGCTAATAGACAAGCTAACATAAAAGGAGGAAATCTCATGGAGCCTCAACCCCAGTCAAAGAACTATGGAAACTAAGGAAGGTTGAAAGCAGGTGTTAAGTCTTCCCAAGGGATCAATTGGGAAGATTGGTTATCCAATGCCAAACAGTCAGTCCTTAAGTCACAGCATAAGTTACTTTAGACAGACTGAATGAGCAGGTTGTATTTCTATGTTTAGGTTGTATGTATGTATGTATGTATGTATGTATGTATGTATGTATGTATGTTTATGCTCACACACATACACATAATATATGTGTAGCAACAGTTAAGGGATTAGAGGCTGTGAGTTTGAGAGAGAGCAAGGGGCCTCCTGGGAAGAGTTGGAGGAAAGGGGGAAATAATGTCATTATATTACAATTTCAAAAAGTTAAAAAATATGTATAATAAGTTATAAAAATCAGTTTTACCAATAGCAGACAATCTATTCCTTTAGAACAATGAACTTAAATCTCTTTCTTACACGTGGAGGTCGAGAACAGAAGTCAGATATTTGCCCCAGCTGTCCTCCGCCCTGCTTTCTGAGGCCAAGTCTGGTCCTTGGAACTGGCCCAGGCTGGCCTGTGAGCTCTGGGGTCTACTTGTCCCTGCCTCTCATGCTATAGGTACAGACCACGCCTGGCTTTTCTGCTTGAGTGATGATGGAGATCTAAGCTAAGTCAGCATGCTTGTGTGTAGGCATTCTACCTCCTCAGCCCCTGATGACCTAAGAAGATAATTGAAACACATCCCAGGGCTTTCTTAGGTTACTCTGGCATCCTGCATAGGTTGGTATTTGTTCTGTATTTTAAGTATTTTATTAAGGATTGAATTAAAATGAACTGAGTTGCGCTTAGAGTGTCTCCACTCAAAGTTCCTGGCATGATTTTTATCCCGAGTAGGATTCGGGTACAGCGAACACAGTTCTCAAGCAAAGTATAACTGGCAATACCCATCTTGCCCCCACTTTTATGGCACTGAGAATCGTCTTCCTAAAGATGGGCTGCAGCATCCTTGGATAAAGTGCTGTGTGGTGGGAAGGGTTGGGGAGCAGTGCATGCGTTTGACCCCTCTCCCCACTTGCAGTTCAGTCCTGACTCCGTCTTTAGCACGGATGCAGAAACGAGGTCTCGGGGAGACTTTGGACACTACAGGTTGAGTACAGGCAGGGAGTAGAAAGCAACCCGTGCCCTTTCCACAGTGTTGTGTTGTTGTAAAATATGAAGTTTCACTGCTTATTTTTTTTCCCCGATAGCGAAAATATCCTAAAATAAGTGTTTCATCAGCTAGGTACTAAAAAAACGTATGGTTGATAACTATGTGACCGGTGTAAGATTTTGTCAGCACTTGCTGGCCACTAGAGGGCTCACAGACACTGAACAGACGTTTAAAAAGAACACCATTGACTTTTAAACAACGATAACAAAAAAGAATTTTTTAAGAAAGCCCCTGAAGTTGGGATGAGGTGGCCGATGGGTTAAGACAGCCCCTAAAGTTAAAGTAACACAGATGTTACTCTGTGAAACATGGCTTTTCTTAAGGATTTAAATGCTTGCTGGTTTTCTCCCCATTTTTATTACCGGATATCAATTTGCCAACACAATGGGTTTATTATATGTGTACTTACATTGTATTAACCCCTTAGCCTGTCTTGCTCTTTAATACTGATTTCAATCCCAAGGTGTGTGTGTGTGTGTGTGTGTGTGTGTGTGCGCGCGCGCGCGCGCGCACACACACACACATGCATGCATGCAAACTCTGAACTATTGGCTCCCTATCCCATAACTAGTGATATTTAAAATAGTATTTTGAGTGAATGTTTTTCTATACCAAAATCCTGAGATTTTCTTCATAAAGCAAGGAAGACTCCAGCAAGACAAACAAGTCTAACGATGCAGAAACTGTGC